TAGCAACTAACTTTCAGTAGAATCAATAAATACACGGGGTGCCATAGGGCTAACATTCTAGTACATAAAAGGGAGGACCCGGACACTGAATAACTGTACGTGTAGTTATATTTACCTCAGCGTGACACAATTACAATGTGTATATTTATCTGATTATTTTTTAATGATTTAAGAATTGATTTTAACCAGTATGGCGATCATATTCCAGTGTTCAGATTGGAAAACATTGCACAATGTCGTCCGTATAAAATGGAAGTAACACCGCCAATAGCAGATTATTGGGAGAGTCGCATATTGGAAATAAAACTGTATAAACATAATATTGCACTCCCGCCAAAGTGCTTAACTTAGAAACACGATCAAATTAGTGAGTGAATGAATGCAACATAGACCATCACTATCCTAGGGGCTATACTTTTCAAAGTTCGGCACTTCCGCGAAAACCGAAAAAAAATTGGATACTTTTTAAAACAAGGAAGTGTCTTGGCAGTAGAAGACTGAGTTGCTTTGAAGGTTCCAACTGAATCAAACTCATCAAAAGTACGGAGGTATTCGAATAGAACAAGAAGACAGTATATCTAGTCTGTATTAAGGTTATTCATTTTATAAAACAGCATTAAAACAAATCAGTGCAAAAAGGTTGTTTATGGTTTTGCAAGACACTCATATGTTCTACCTATACATGGGGGGGCATGTGTAAAAGAAATTGAGAAACAAAACATAAATACCTGCAACCAGTTATTAAGACAAGATGACATAAATACAAACTAACGTCAATGATGAAATGATGAGAACAAATGGCAACGCAATGACCGTAGTGTGACCGGTCATAACCTTAATAGCGAAGCGTGCACGGTCATGAGACGAACGAGTAAATTACTCCCCGAATACCACAGGGTATTAACAGTGACGTGTTGATTGATAATTGATTGGAGAAGCTAAGAAAACCGATCCCGAGTGTTTGTTGGTAACGGTTCAATACATGGGGAACAGCCTTAAGTGTTTCCTTTCAACTCTTTCAACGTACATAACGTATTACGAGTCCCGGGGTACGGGTACATCATCGAGGGTAATACAATATGCTTATAAAGACCCAGTATTTCAACTGTGTCGTACATTTATTTTACATCAAATTGTGATGTTGTGCATTTGCCTAGATATTATAATTCAATACTGACCATTCACCGTGGACATGCCACCAGGGTATGCTGGTATGTCACGTGTCGCCACTCCCCTGTACATAATATATTTTGACAGAATATTGGGATAAAAAATTGTCCTTTTATCACATCATAGGATTACGGTATGTAATTATTTCCACCCCTTCCACCTATAGAATGGATCACCGTGGATGTGGTACAACAGTTCACTGTATTCTATCTGTACTGTCAAAGAACGCACATTGTGAATATCCGTGATATACATAATAGTACGAAGATTTTGATTGGCTGGTTATGGAGGACGCGTTAACGTTGTAATGCACCTTTAATGCACATGCCAGTTTGTTTTCCTGTTCGAATACCTTTATTAAGTTCTGATTACTGACCGAATACTACGACAGACCACACCAAGATATCCCGTATTTGAAAGCAAGCCTTCCATGCCTAGACATTTTGAGTGATTGATGGGTGCCGCATCACGGACTTCATCGTGGATATCATTCTGGTAAAACATGTGTAAGGCTGAGAAAAAAAATATGTTTCTAGTTTCCGCGCGTTGAACTATGCGCCTCGGACGTTTTTTTTTTTTCCTTCTAAAGCATTTCAAAATGCGCCTGTACTCGCACTTGTCTCAAATTTGACTTATTTCAGCTCACTATTAAAAAAATCGCCTCGCCGCCTCATTTTAAAAATAATTTCCATGAAACGAGAAACAGAGAATTTTTTTTACCTGGCCTAAATGGATTTTTAACGTGTACCGCTTGTCTTTGAGAAGCGCTGCCACATTGGAAAGTATCGCGAGTAGATACAAACCTCAATTATGTGATAAATAGAACAACAGAATTACGGTTAACAAGACATATAACTCTGATTCTTGACAGTCGCGTAATGGGTACCACGTGACAAAAATAGCCGTAATTGTAAATCTGCAAGCCACAGTCCTATTCACTGTCACGTACGACATGTGGTTTAACGAATTAAAGGGCGGCAGTCGTCGCGCCGCGACCTGTTCGATATGGGACTCATAGCGACGTATACAACGCGTGTAAAATACATTGTTTATTTACATGAAATTTAAACACGCGCTGCGCGACGACCACCGCGCTTTAAGAATTGTCATCATGATGAGGGGAGCATGCGTTGTTTTCGTGCTGCAAACTAAGTGGACCATTTCATCAACAATTACGTGCAGTATGATACTGCAAAACATTTTACTCTTGAAGAATATATTTCAGAGTAGTTTTCGGTAAATTTCAATCCAATGATCCCTCATAAATAATGTCCAGATCCTTCGTCAAGGGGACATTGTCTAATCATTGATTTTTGCTGTTTACAAGTGAAATAAATTAAATCATATAGTATCACTATAATTATTATAAACGTATTTGATATAATATCATTATAGCTCATACTATAGAGACGGGATTGATTGATGTTCTCGCTTTAACAACCAAGAGTAACTCCCATGATAAATGTCATATTCAGACATAATTTTTTTTTCTGCCTGATTCATTTACTTATTTACTGCTTCTTTCTCTGTGTCAAATTTCCTCAATTAATCACCGTCTGAATGTTCTTGTGGAAATTTACAATATGTAAATTACTTACGTTGTCAATAGCTGCGAATCGCGCAGATATCTAAATAAATAAAAACACATTGCTAAAGATAGCTGGTACCGAATCACTCTTCATTAGCACGTGCATGTCAAATCACAGAGCCTAGCGAAATTAAAACCATTTTCTAGCCATACACCAATAATAAACTAATTTTAAGAATGAGGGGAATAATGGATGGATGTTAGGGGGGGACGTAAATGATTCTCCGTCTGGAGGATATTTACATGTGCCACGATGTATATTGCATTTCATGTGTATTTAGTTTAGTATCACCGTAGGCCGTCTCGCAATGGATTAAAAATCGAAAGTTGATTAGCGGTACTATTCCAGATGATTGTGTCAGTTTAATACCAGGCATACGTGTAACACTCGCTCAAATATAAACGTCACCGATAGAACTGATTGTTTTCAAACAAGTATTACTGGCGCCAGCGTTCTTGTTGAAATTGTTTCTCAATGACAAAAAACACGGCTTGATGATTTCACTCTTGCGCCAGAAGTTATGCCGTCTTAATAGTTGTGTTCAATTTCTGCAGTTATTTACTTTCTTTTTTTGAACCATGTAACTGTTATTTTTAGGAAATTTTATTGTTTAAAAACTAACAATAAAATATTAGTTTTGATCTAAAGTAAAACGTACGTTCCAACTTTTGCACTGGTCTGACATCCCCAAAATTAAAATCCCTAAAAGGCGACACCAAATCATATAGCCTGGCCCTGTAAGCCCCGAGTATGCCCGCAAGGCTGTTTCCTCTGGGGATCCGTCCCCCGGACACGAGAAAGCACGATACGGTTGCATCGGATGATCCAGCTGCATTACAAAGTTTTAACATTCAATGAATAATATTCTTGTTTTCGTCACACTGTACAATAAACACAAATTAGAATTCTAAATTAAATGATTCAGCCAGAAAGTCGAATTATAGAATTGTAAACGTCACAGCAGCGTGTAAAGGCTGGAGTCGTTATTAGATTCGAAATAAAGTATTGTGGTTGCATAAAATGTCGATCACAGTCATTTGTTTATATCGAAGAATTGTTATTTCCCTTCACTTACAGAGTCAATATATTGCCATGTTGGTTTAATTGCATCCCAATGTACGAGAAGGTCACTGAAGACTACGTTGTTTTATGGCATGTAATTACAATCAAATCGAGCGTAAATTTTTAACTAGGTAGAATAATGCATAGCGCATGTACCGTGTATCTGTAACGCGTGTCGTTTCACCGTTCTAGCCCCGGCTTCATATATACTCGAGAAGGTTTAGCCGAGGTGCGATTTGTGACGCAGAATTAAAATCACTTTATATGTAATAAGGTTCATGTACACAAATATAGGACTAATTCAATGAATGGGTGGGAGCGAATCTTCCTAAATAAGATGAAACACTACTTTAACAATCAGAATTTAAGGCCCCTTCCATGTTCGACTCGTCTACGAACTGGGTATAGCAGCAATGTTAACGCTGTAAATATGCAAAGGTATATGCCCATATTTGTATATTCATTATGCTCTAGAAAATACGGTATTGGGTACTTACTGACTATTGCTAATCAGAATAACGTTTAACTTGATCTCATGCAGCTAGAATGTAACAAGTATTTTCCCAAAATTCTCCAAATTGGAATTGGTTTTACAGTATTTTAAACTTTATGAAATATAGCACTACGAAACTGTTGAATTCTCAGCTCGACATCCAACTGCAGTGACACAATTGCTGTTATCTGGCATCCATTCGCTTGTATACGTTGCGAGTATTTCGTTTCATGACTTTTGAATCAATAAAGAGCACCTACCTTTCGTCGATTTAGTGTCCAGCCTTTGAGCAGAATCACTAATGCTGGATCATTGATCTCATTTCGTTTGTGATAAGTGTGTTCGTTTTTTTACGTGTTCATCGGTTGATTCTCAGTGGAGGAATGGGTACAAACTGAACTCTTGCCACTGGTCACAATGAGAACATCGCCCTCTCTAGCCGTGTTGTCAAATTCAGTCGTTCGAAGTAAGACCCTCTAGCTTAATAAAAAAAGTATAAATTATTTTTAAATACACTATGCTATACTATATAGCAAATGGATGTGATTATTTACGCCAAATATACCATGCACCTCACTAATTAAGTTATAATTATTTGTTTGGGGTAATGAAATCTGCAATTGCGTTCTTAATGCGAAAATTGGTTACATAACGCAAATAAAATAAACCTAAGTGGTCTATACAAAATGGCGACGCACAAGAGAGTCGTCGTATTTTGTATTGCTTTTAATTTTTCGAATTTGTTGTTATTGCTCAGTACGTTCTCAGGTAAATATTCTATTTATTTATGTTTCTACTTACTTTGGTGATGGATGTGTGGCTCTTATGTCAAACGCAAGACCCCATTATATATACGTACACTCTAATCACAGGTGTGTGGCATTCTAATTTTACCCTAAGCGCAAGTCAAACTTACATACGGTAAGTCGGTTCGTCCCACAAGTTAATTCGTCCCAAAGTTGATTCGTCCCACAAGTTGATTCGTCCCAAAGTCGATTCGTTCCACAAGTCGATTCGTCGGATTTAAGGTTAGCCAAATACTAACTCGCCAAATAAGCACAAACACATCCAAACAACGAACTGTTCACGTACACGTCATGCACTGGCATGCGTAATTGTTCGTTACGCCATTTTGTTTTTGCCGACGTTATATACAAATACATCTTACGTACAACGCTGAGTTATTAGTTAATAAATACAAATACACCGTACAAGTTATTAGTTAATAAATACAAATACTCCTTACATGCAACATAGAGTTATTAGTTAATAAATACAAATACATCGTACAAGTTATTAGTTAATAAATACAAATACACCGGACATTCAACGTACAAGTTATTAGTTAATAAATACAAATACACCGTACACGCAACGTAGAGTTTTAGTTAATAAATACAAATAATCCGTTCACGCAACGTGGAGTTATTAGTTAGCGTGTCAGTAACAGTTGGCATAGAAATTGACCCTGTTCAAGATCGTAATGCTGACCAAAAATTTTAAAAATAGACGAATGTGAATTGGGACGAATCGACTCGTGGGACGAATGTGAATTGTGACGAATTGACTGTGAATCAGTTGAGGCATCACTGTCCTTAGAAAGTAAGGTCTGCCAATGTAGACCAAATTGTGATTTTGTGTACCATATGAAGAATTATGGTCAGTGTGTGCAATTTCTCAATTGTTTAGTGAGACTGTATTAATCAAAATGGTTGCTAAAATAATAACATTAATTTGCCTACATTTCTAGTGATACTGGGAGATATACAAAACAATGATAATGTTGAGCCAGTTGTTATTGATCATCTTGGTGTGGATGAAGACCTGCTAGAAGATCATGATAGTCAGTATCCATCATCTACAGTTCTAGAGAATGAACTCACTGGAGATATTGTAGACGATGATACCACTAAGGATGTATGTCATGCCAGTGATATCATAAGTGAAGTAGGATTGAATGATTCAGAAATTATACCAAGTAATAATGTCACCAAAGAGATGGAAGACGATGATAACGATGAGGGGGTATGTTTTGCAACGAATCATACAGAAGAAAATAAACCCAGATTCCAGTGTACCAAAGTTGAACTTGCCGAAAATGAAACGGCCGCTGTAAAAATAGTGAACAACACAGAACTCTTTCAGACGTTGAATAGACTGAATACGTCTGAAGGGCCGTGTGCTATTGTTTTATTCTATGCGCCATGGTGTAGATTCAGTGCAGCAGTTGCACCACATGTGAATGCTGTTGGGAGAGCATATCCAATGTTACATGTACTAGCAGTGGATGCTATACAATTTAGTGGGTATGTATTTTCTTTTTTCTAACCAGGTGCTCTGTTTTCAGCTGTCAAGATTTCAATATAGTAATTAAACATGTGAAAAAATGGTCACTGAAAATTCACTGAATTTTACAACACAACAGTACCAGAGGTCGGGTATAAATGCCAGGATGTGTGACCTTGGGGGCCAGGTATAAATGCTAGGATGTGTGACCTTAGGGGCCAGGTATAAATGCCAGGGTGTGTGACCTTAGGGGCCAGGTATAAATGCTAGGATGTGTGACCTTAGGGGCCAGGTATAAATGCCAGGATGTGTGACCTTAGTGGCTAGGTATAAATGCCATGATGTTTGACCATAGGGGCCAGATATAAATGACAGGATGTGTGACCTTAGTGGCTAGGTATAAATGTCAGGATGTGTGACCTTAGACGCCAGGTATAAATGCCAAGATGTGTGACCTTAGGGGCCAGGTATAAATGCCAGGATGTTTGACCTTAGAGGCCAGGTATAAATGCCAGGATGTGTGACCTTAGGGGCCAGGTATAAATGACAGGGTGTGTGACCTTAGGGGCCTGGTATAAATGCCAGGATGTATGACCTTAGGGGCCAGGTATAAATGCCAGGATGTGTGACCTTAGGGGCCAGGTATAAATGTCAGGATGTGTGACCTAAGGGACCAGGTATAAATGCCAGGATGTGTGACCTTAGTGGCTAGATATAAATGCCAGAATGTGTGACCTTAGTGGTCAGGTATGAATGCTAGGATGTATGACCTTAGTGGCTAGATATAAATGCCATGATGTTTGACCTTAGGGGCCAGGTATAAATGCCAGGGTGTGTGACCTTAGGGGCCAGGTATAAATGCCAGGATGTTTGACCTTAGGGACCAGGTATAAATGCCAGGATGTGTGACCTTAGGGGCCACATATAAATGCCAGAATGTGTGACCTTAGTGGCCAGGTATGAATGCTAGGATGTGTGACCTTAGTGGCTAGATATAAATGCCAGGATGTGTGACCTGAGGGACCAGGTATAAATGCTAGGATGTGTGACTTAGTGGCTAGATATAAATGCCATGATGTTTGACCATAGGGGCCAGGTATAAATGACAGGATGTGTGACCTTAGTGGCTAGGTATGAATGCTAGGATGTGTGACCTTAGGGCCAGGTATAAATGCCAGGATGTGTGACCTTAGGGACCAGGTATAAATACCAGGATGTGTGATCTTAGGGACCAGGTATAAATGCTAGGATGTGTGACCTTAGGGACCAGGTATAAATACTAGGATGTGTGACCTTAGTGGCTAGATATAAATGCCATGATGTTTGACCTTAGGGACCAGGTATAAATGCCATGATGTTTGACCTTGGGGACCAGGTATAAATGCCATGATGTTTGACCTTAGGGACCAGGTATAAATGCTAGGATGTGTGACCTTAGGGACCAGGTATAAATGCCAGGTTGTGTGACCTTAGGGGCCAGGTATAAATGCCAGGATGTGTGACCTTAGGGGCCAGGTATAAATGCTAGGATGTGTGACCTTAGTGGCTAGGTATAAATGCCAGGATGTTTGACCTTAGTGGCTAGGTATAAATGCCAGAATGTTTGACCTTAGGGGCCAGGTATAAATGCCAGGATGTGTGACCTTAGGGGCAAGGTATAAATGACAGGATGTGTGACCTTAGGGGCCAGGTATAAATGCCAGGATGTGTGACCTTAGGGGCCAGGTATAAATGCCAGATTTTGTGACCTTAGGGGCCAGGTATAAATGCCAGGATGTGTGACCTTAGGGGCCAGGTATAAATGCCAGGATGTGTGACCTTAGGGGCCAGGTATAAATGCCAGGATGTGTGACCTTAGGGGCCAGGTATAAATGCCAGGATGTGTGACCTTAGGGGCCAGGTATAAATGACAGGATGTGTGACCTTAGGGGCCAGGTATAAATGCCAGGATGTGTGACCTTAGGGGCCAGGTATAAATGCCAGATTTTGTGACCTTAGGGGCCAGGTATAAATGCCAGGATGTGTGACCTTAGGGGCCAGGTATAAATGACAGGATGTGTGACCTTAGGGGCCAGGTATAAATGCCAGGATGTGTGACCTTAGGGGCCAGGTATAAATGCCAGATTTTGTGACCTTAGGGGCCAGGTATAAATGCCAGGATGTGTGACCTTAGGGGCCAGGTGTAAATGCCAGGATGTGTGACCTTAGGGGCCAGGTATAAATGCCAGGATGTGTGACCTTAGGGGCCAGGTATAAATGCCAGGATGTGTGACCTTAGTGGCTAGGTATGAATGCCAGGCTGTGTGACCTTGGGGGCCAGGTATAAATGCCAGGATGTGTGACCTTAGAGGTCAAGTATAAATGTGTGACTTTCAAGGGTCAGGTTTAAGGCCTGTTAACTACAAATAGTACATACAGGTATGCATAACTAAAGAAATATTACGTGTAACAGAATACTTGTATTTTAGTTCCTCCTTTCAATTTTACTTGTGGTTGTGATCAAAATTTATTTAGGCTTGTCTGCGCACATTCAGACTACAGTGTAAAGGCCAGTGTTAAATTTGGTGACCAGTTTAGTATGATAGAAAGCATGTACAGTCTTCAAATTACCACAATAGACAGAATATACATGATTCTGGCATTTCATAATAAATGCTTTCTATTGATAATTGCACTTTCAAATAATATTCATGAGATATGTCTACGTCATAACCTTGTTAAAGGTCATTAGCATATTGTGTACACAGTGGGCAAGCTTCGGTCCCTTGTTCCATATTCCAGAGTGGTTTTGTCTTTATAAAATATTTGGTAGCAGCTTGCGAATCCATAACTGGGGCCAACAATTTTGCAATGTCATCATCTTTTATCACAGCTATTGCATTTCTATAAATAAAAATTCTTCCTATTACAAGCCCATCATGATATCCATATAGTGAGACATTCTAACATAGGGCCACCCCTATTTTTTTGGCATTTTCCATGTTCAGAACCCTGGGCTCTTTACCCAGATAAATACGGTATGCATACAAGCTAACAAGGCACGCCAACTCAACGAATGCTCTGCAAAAGATTTGTACACACTCCTACCATGTCATACTTTAATATAATATGCAATTACAATTCTGGTTTCCTAATAAATTAGTTGCACTTAGTTGCACTCTGATTTCATATCACCATAATGTCAAATTAATAAACATCTACCACTAGAGGGCGCTGTTGCATGCAGTCCCAAGATTTCACATACTGTAAATAGAGAAATATTCCCTGCATATGATGACATTGCAAAGATACTGATTCCTGAAGGAAACAATACATTCTATTGTTAAATTTAAATATTCACTGGGTTTGAATTTAGAGCATTTAGTTATCGGCCGAAAAAACAAAAAATAAAATGCACCAAATAATTAAAACCCTATGCAGTAGAGTAGAATAGAATGTAATGCATGTAATGTAATTCTCTTTATTATTGAAACTATCTTTATTGATGATTGTATTTCATAGTTTGATATTTAATATTATTTGTTCATTTAACAACTTTTCAAGCATATTTGCGATAACACAGTGGTCTACACGGTGATAAATTCATTTTTACAGACACATTTACCACAAGATGGAAAATAAACAAAAATTGTTAGTATGGTATTGTGTCTAAAGGGCAGTTGGCGTTGCCAGGATGTGTTGATATGGGTCCCATACGATGTATACAACACATGTAAAATACATTGTTTTCATTTGAACAGGTGCAAGCCACCATCCTTTAACTTCTGTGACTTATAATAAGAAATTAAATGTATGTGTTAATTATGGTATTTTAGCAATAAATGTACAATTCACAGTCTTACACTTTATCTTTTTTTTGCCAGTTTGAATGCTAGATTTGGTACTGTGGCTGTACCCAATCTCATTCTATTCCACAATGGTAAACCAGTTGCAAGATACAATCAAACAGAAAGAACATTTGAACAGTTTAAATCATTTATCAAGAACCATACAGGTACATGTACTACTGTAAAATCAGTATTAGAAGCTGGAGAGTCTATTAAAATGGTACAATGCAAGAGAGGGAATGCGGCTTCTATTAGAGCATCTGCGCATATGAGAAAGTGAATTTTTGGTTTGCAATTGTTCCAAAAAAATGGGTGTGGCTTCTATTCGGGATGCAACATTTTTGGGGCTAATATGAGAATACCATGCCTTATCATACCTAGAACATGTGGTTCTCTTGATTTTATGTGTTTTATAACTCGTGATATTTGGAAAATAGTTTCTCTGAGGGGCTCAAACTATTTATTTTTTATTATTATACCAGGATGTGTTTCAGCTTTGTTTTCACAACCATAGACAGCTGTATATTTTGTGTACTTTGCATCTTTCAAGAAAATTTAACAAAATTGCATGGCTAGTTTTAAAATGCAATATTGTGATCCAGTATGAAGTGCTTCATAGAACTTTGACTAAGAGTGTTCATGTGTGAGTTGAATTATTGTGTTTACCATGTTGCATTAACAAAATCTTTTGCAAAATCAACATATAGATCAACAACCTTGTGATATCACGCTGTTTTAATCGAGATAGGATAATGCATTCCTGTATTTTCCTGTATCATGTAGTACATTTTTTCCTCACATGGTCCATATGATTCATGCTTTCAAGGGAAAACTAAATGCCAGGATATTTGACCTTGGGGGGCCAGGTATAAATGCCAGGATGTATGACCTTAGTGGCTAAATATAAATGCTAGGATGTGTGACCTTAGGGGCCAGGTATAAATGCCAGGATGTGTGACCTTAGTGGCTGGATATAAATGCCAGGATATGTAACCTTAGGGGCCAGGTATAAATGCCAGGATGTGTGACCTTAGGGGCCAGGTATAAATGCCAGGATATTTGACCTTAGGGGCCAGGTATAAATGCCAGGATGTGTGACCATAGGGGCCAGGCATGGCGAACAATGAAACATTCACACTCTTTCTGTTGTGTTATTACTACACACCCGATGTTCTGTACAGTATCCTTCTACGCAATACTACACAAGTTATTCTCCTTTGATTTATCTGAACTTTGCGTCATTTGCAGGAATTGATGCAGATGCTACGGTTGAAGTAACAGATGAGGACTACCTCGGACCATTACCCAGCGTACCCACAGTTGAACCAGACTATTTCCTGTGGTTTTCAACCTTATTTGTCATTGCCTTTATTTGCTATTTATTCAAACAAAAATTTGGAGACCGAATCATGGAGCGTGTGAGGACTTGGGCAGAGATTCATGAACATTTAGATTGAGATGTAAAATTGGTCACTTTGTTGGAGACTGTGAAATATGCAATAATTACTGAGAACTCGAGTAGTAATCATGTCAGTTTTATTAATATCAGACTTTTTTGTGCATGACAGTAATCAACCTTGGGTGGCTTTGGAGGGTCTATATCTAATGACTTTAACCATGGAAGGTACTAACGGAAGGAGCCACGACGCTATTGTTTTAGCTTTACCCCATGATCGTTTGTCAATGTTTGTTCACAAACATTGTTCTTGTTAGCTTTTAACACCTTCGTACGATGGGTTATGCTAATCTCGAGCATTCGGTAATATTCAGAGCATGTTCGGAAGCGATAGTACCTCGCATGTACAATATTGAAAATGGCGAACTTTAATGGAAAATTGTCAGATATAACATTGATTGAAGAAGAACTGATGAAATATCATGAATTTTGTATTTGTAATGGTAATGACAGTTAATCAATGATTGCTTGTGACGATTGCATTATTCAATGGTACCATTTTGGCGCCCGAAACTGTCGAAATTTTTGACCACCGGACATCAGCGAACACCAACAGAAAAGATAGTATCGAAAGAAGAGCATGCCTCCACACTTTCTCTGTGATAATATTTCTTAGGAGTCCTTAGGAATTGTTGTTGTATGCACTCGAAATCTTGTTCTAGTTACAGTTGCTAATATTTAAAACATGGGAAATTTGTGAAGTCAAACGTTCATCTGTTGAATTTCCGGTTGTGAAATACGTATTTTGACCTTTTAGATCTAAACAAACCCAGTGCGCATGTGTGATGACCGTAGTTTCTTAATGCGCATATATTTCATAGTCACATTAAAAAAATGGCGGGGTTGTATCATACTCCGCTAACTCGTTACTTGTGTAAACAATCGCAAACTATCATGGACATCAAAGATGAGCTAGACAATGGCCTTATCAGGATTAATTTGGGTTGAAACAAAAGGAAATAAGCCAATTAAGAGGCTTAATTGGCCACTTGATAGGTGTCGTGGCTCCTTCCGTTAGTACCTTCCATGCTTTAACTAAGCAAGTCTTGTAAACGAACAAAAATGGGAGACAAGATAATGTTGACAAAATTATCTTGTGTTTTTAGGGTTCAATACTGTTACAATAACTTATTATTTTCATATCATTAAGAATGACTTTTTAAATTAACTGGAATAAATTACTCTGTTTCATTGGCATTGCTACAAAATATTTTGAAGGAGGTTTAATTTGATTAAACATGAATGTCAGTGTAGCTCCCTGCCTAGAACTCCAACAAATAGTGACTCTAGTGTGAAAATGTCATCATCTAGTCGTGAAAATGGTTTCCATTCCCACAATACACTGCTGCCCATGGTGTGTGTAGTTAATTTTTGTGGTCGACTCTGTAATAAATGGTTTGATTAGATGTATTCATTATTATCATATCTTTGTAACCCTTTTAGTGATATCAAATTTTGGCACCATCTGCAAAAAGTACAGTCTGCTCCTCTCCACATGAAATGTTGATAAAAAAATTACAAACCTTTTGATCAAAAACTAAAAGTAATATCTAATAAAAACGGTGAGTGTGGTCCAAAATAATTATATAATTTAGAACAATTTTACTGGAGAGAATATTTACCCTGAATTTTAGGCAGGTAAATTATCAGGCATTCAACGAGTTAGAGGTTTGAGCTGAATTGAAGATTGTATCCTGTTCATCGTGCTTAATTATTATAAGATCATACCATCAGAATATCGAAAATGGAAAAAAAATGGGGTTCACCTGATGATTTTGTGAGATACAGTAGTCCGAAATATCATGGAAAATTTCCAAAATTGTCATTTTTACACTGGTTTCTATGGTGAGATTATTCATTCGTATCTCAAAATTTCACTCAATTACATGGGATTATTATGTATATTAAATCCAACATTGTTATTCAATTTTGAAAAAAACGAATAATTTAGGGAGTAAAACGAGTTTCCAGGGTGATACTAGTTTTCAATTATATCAATGAGGTTATCTCCCATAATGCATTGCATATATGTGCAGTAACATGCTCAGTAGTGAAAAATTTAAATTCGGCTCACACTATAGTCTATCATTGAATATTATGTGTGGGAAATATTGTACATATTATTGGAAAATAATGTTACATACAAATTGATTGGATAATGTAAAGTACAAGACTGGTAACTCGATTAAAGTTTGTAAACAAAATGATTTATTAGCTTGATATAGCAAAGCTATTTATATCACTGATCGGCCTTTAAATAGACCTAAAGGACTGTCAACAGCCTGAGTCTAGCCGCTGCAGACCACATAATACGAGGTTATTACGAGGATACCGAAAAGTATGCACTAATACAGTATAGCAGGAGTATAGACAGACACGCAGCAGAGGTCGATGTGACCGCATACTGTCTGAGTGAACTTCTTTGTATTGGGTCTGGTCAAACCCATGTAATCATTCCATATTTGGAATTTGCATATCCTTTTATTGATTTGTTTTAATTTCATGAAGTCGTATGCTGGAAATAAATTTGTACTACCAGCATCTTTATGTATTCAAATTAGACCATTGAATACACCATTCTGTAAACTGCGCCCTCTAGTGATGAAAATCGTGTATGATAAAAACGGATGAGACAAACGCTGTTCTACTCTTTGTTATTGCTTTGATCCATAGTCATAAATCAGTGAAGCTTGTGTTTTTTGAGAGATGTTGACCGTATATAGATGACTGGTTTGATCTACATTCCTCCATCCTTGTGCGTCATTTTGACGTCACGGGAGCGTTCTATCACCAGTGGCATGGTGCATTTCATTAGTTTTGGTGCAGTAGAAATGATAAAATAATCTCGTCTAGTTGTGCTTTATTTTATACAAGACTTTTTTTCTATTTCTCAACATTATTGAACTAGATGTATGCGCATTATTTCATTTCTTTTAGTACCAAAAAAAATATTTTTTAGTCAATTTTTGTTTACCAAACTTTATTTTAAAATTGTAAAAAATCGATTTTGCTTTTGAATTTCAAGACATCGCCCTCAGTGACTAAGTTGCACGTATTACAAGTAGCAAAGTAACTATGGATTGTCTTCACTACAATTCAATAGTGCATGAGCCAAATGTTGAAGCTTTATTACTGTGTCACGGTAATGGATGATAGTTGTTTTGCAAACTATAGCAGGGTGGTCAAACCGAAGTGGGTATAATTTTTTCTAATGTACGCCTCGCAGGGAAAACTAAAAATAAATAAAACTTCTGGAAGAAATTCTCTGGAAACCCGTGTCCGGAAGCAATATCGTGCATAACACTTGGAAAATGTCTGACTTCACTTTATTTCACAAAGGCAACGATTTTAACTGAACTTGAAGCTCAGACTGAGAAAATACAAGTTGATGATGCTTGTAAGCGAACTGTGGATTTCAAGTAGCTTGCCGTGCCTAGCTGTTATTTTCCCGTAACTCTAATCTGTTACCTCCGCCGAGTAACGGTTTAAGTCTTTTTTTCCCGTATTATGTACCAATGGAAACGACAAATTCTCTAGGGTAATAGGTGTAACTAATAATTTGAATGTATTCAGTTTGGCAACCAGCAAAAAGAAATTCCACAAAAAAATCCAAATCTGAGAATATAAAGTTTTAAATTGCGGGCTAGAATTATCCCGAGTTTTGTTTCTATAATTTGTTTTCTCTTTCCTTGCATTCAAATTATAAAGTGTCTCAAAATATCGCTTATAGGAACCAGCCAATACGCCAACCTTTAACGACTCAAAATAACCATCCATCGAAACGGTCATTACATTACATTACATTACTTATTGTGTCAAATAAAGTTATATTATATCGTGCTATGTTTGTTTTTCTTCCAAAATAAATCATTATTCAGAACTTTCGAAGAAAATATTTGTTTTCAGATTCTGTGAACTTATGTTTTAGGGATATATTTTTTGTAAACTTGAGTAAAGTTCACAAATCAAACGCCTTTGAA